GGGGCGGGTCCAACTGAGCGGGGCGGGTCCAACTAAAGAGTAGTGGATCCAAGTCAATGCAAAATGGGGGTTCCAGATTTTGGATCCCCCCCACGGTCTGGGTTCTCCAGAAGCAGCAGCTAGGTGCTCTTGCCACTCTGGTAGCTGCCAACCCGCTAGCTCCCAGCTCGGCTGGCTGGACGGAATCTCTAGCACCTCCTCGTCCCCGGACTGTGCCGGAGAGGCTTCGCTAGCTTCGCTCTCGCTATCACCGCGACCCTTTGGCCAGCACAGCTTGCACACATGGGTGTAGCTTGTTCTAACAGGCAAGTCAACAAAATCTTGGGAGTTCTTAAACTCTTCACCTGCCCATCCAGCACCCAGAGCTACCCGCTGTGTAGCCCAAAAATAGCCCCCGGTAGCTCTACTATGACGTATCTAGCTACCTATCGAGGATTTTAGCTTGCTTTGCCACGGGAGGTTCCCCCGTCTCCGGCTCATTCTGGCTATCCTCGCTATCGGCTTGTTGTGGGACTGCCGCAATCTCTATCTCCGGGGCCACGACGTCCACGGCCGTCTGCGCCTCGATGGTCCCTCTGCCCCAGCTCTCTGCCAGGTCCTTAGCGCCTTCGCCATATCTGGCCGGAGCCCTCGCCTTTCCACTAGCCAATCGGCTAGTGTCTCGCCGATCTCTTTCTCGTCCAGCTCCACATAGCGATCTTCTTTCCTGGCAGCGTCCGCGTAGCTCCTGTGTAGCTTGGCCACGCGTCCACCATATGAACGGGCGTAGACGTCAGAGCCTTCCGGCTTCCAACGCCCTAGCAAGTCCTTCTCTGAAGCCTGGACTCCAATGATCGATAGCGCTGTAGGTAGCACGCTTCTCTCGGAGCGCTCCGTCCAGAAGCCTTGGACGGCTCCCGGTATCTGTAGCCTAGCGACAGCAATAGCCGGCCATCTTCTTGTCGAAGCCCGCCAGGTCGTCTCTAAGACGTGGTAGCAAGTAGTCCCTCTTGAAGCTCGCCAGCCCCTTCAGTAGCTCAAACCCAGTCTCTAGCCAGCGGGGATCTTCGAAGAAAGCTTGCTCGCTAACACAGACTGGCAACTCCTTGATCCTCTTAGTGGGCCCCGAAGTCTTCGTCTTGCGCAGGGTGGTAGCTAGCCGCCCATCGGTCAGACGCAGCTCCACTGGCTTTATCGCCTGCAGGTCTGACGACCAGAGGCTAGCCCACGTCTTTAGCAGCTTCACCCATCCAAAAACTCTCAAGGCAGGGGGCTCGCCGTCATCGAGGACGTATCTCTCTATCTTGACCAGGAGCATCGTGGGACAGCGGAGAGCTCGCTTGGTTAGCGGTGCTCCTTCCGATAGCGCTTCCACTATCTTGTCCTTCGCCGCCCAGGCCAATCGACCATAGCTAGCGCAGTCCTCCTCGACGAACTCCGCGACGATCTCAAACCATCTAATAGCTTTCGGGGACCGACCGTCCACATGGCCCACATGGCTCATCTTTTCTAGCTAGCAGATAGTCCACCAAGTCTGCCGGCTTGCCCGGCGGTAGCCGAACCTTGGTCTCTTGCAAGTATAGCCTCCATAGACGGTAGCTAGCCACATAGCGTTTGAGAGTGTTGGGGTGGGTACTACCCGCTAACAACTCGCTAGCGCGCTCCGGATCGAGGCTTAGCTGGAGCTTCTTTAGCACCGGTGCCTCCGAAGCTTGGAGTTCTTGGACCAGCTTTTTCGTCATATCTCCTGTAGCTTGAGTTCGCGTGCTGCGAACTCCTGGCCATCATCTATCAGCTTCCTAGCTTCGTCGCCCGGAGGCGGTCTAGGCTCTTCGACGTAGACCGGGACTTCTCTAGCAACCGGCGCCAGCTGATGCCAGGTTATATCATCCGCTAGCAAGCCATAGGTTCTTGATAGTAGTTTCGCCTCACTTCTCGCATCCTGTATCCAGATTGCTAAGGCTTCCACTATCGATTCAGAGTAGGGAAGGTTTAGCTCGAACGCCAGCTGCTTAGCTATATCTTCGCAGTCTTCATTCAATCTGCAAAGTAGCCAATGCCATCGGCCCAAAACCCTGGGCCTCCAGATGCTGATAGCATCTATCTAGCAGCTGTCCTGTAGCCGGGGAGGCGGTGCTTGCACTAGCAGAGCCAGCACTAGCCTCCATGGCGGCAATCGAGCGAGGGCTTAGCCCTCGTTTCCTTTCACTTCCCAACTCAAAATTTCCCCCCCTTATATAACGTAGGGGGCTTGATACAAAAACGGCAACGGATATATTGCAAATATCTTGCCGTATCAAAACTCCCCAGAGTTTAGCATGTACA